ATATAGGCGTAGAGAGGCTGGTTTTTGTAGCAAAAAAAGGGAAAAAGTCAGAGATCAAAATATGAGCATCTCAAAAGCCGTTGAGAGGAGCGAGGGGGAAAAATGGAAGTGAAAAAAAAAAAGAAAGCGGAGGGGTTTGAGGTCTCCTATCCTTCCTGCAGACAGGATTGCGTACAGACTATACCCAAGGGGTGAATCTTCTACCGGTTAGGGCGAAGGAGACGCAGACGACGAGGAAGAACAAAGCGGAAAATAATAAAAAATGCGGGAAACAAGACAAAAAGGGAAAAATATTAAGAAGGAAGATGATAAAACGACGAGTGGCAGTGGGGAAGGGGGAAGTGCGATATCCAACCGGTAACATCACTCTGTTTCTCACAAAAAGGTGAAGATGGTGGCGGGGTTGAGGGGAGAAGGGTGAGAGAAAAGGAAAACGAAATTCAGGGTGAAAGATACGAGGCGGAAGGTAGCAAGCCTCTGTTTGGTCGGTAGTTGCAACTGATGGTAAATACATGGGAGAGAGGCACAAGTGTTGGAAGATTGGGCGGATTGGGTAGAAGTGAAAGAGCTATGAGAGGAGGTGACAAAATAGAAGAGACGTGGGACACTGGAGTGTGAGAACGATTTTGCCTCCTGTTCGAACTGATGTCCCCCGAGGTCAACCTCACCGTGACTGCCTATCAATTGCTCGGAAAAGCCCTGTCTAACTCGCCTCCACGACGTGATCGTGGATTAAGCCAGTTGAAATTCACGTTTTCTCTCACCCCCTTGTCACATAAAAAGTCCTCATCATTTTTCACTATTCAAACAATAGTTTTAAGTCGTTTCAAGTTGTTTTGAGGGGAGACGACGTATTTGGTAAAGTGAAAATGAAGTGACGATAAAGAGAATGGATTGAATAATCGATTGAATAAATTATTCACTTTTCAGAATTGTTATTAGGCGTGTGGAAAATTCAGGGGAAAAGTTTCAGTGAGTGATAGGAAAGACTTTCTAGTTTTTTTGGGGACAAAAAGTGGATGCGAGTGAGAATTATTATTTTTATTTGACCCAAGATGGTAGGTATCGCTTCGTTAAACGCTTCATGTGGAATATTCTCTCCGTCTAATCAGACCGAAATAATCCGAGACTGATTGTTATACCGACGTATAACTCCGGAATTACATTTGAACATGATCTGATATCCCCGAGATGTGATTCACGTACTGCTCTTCTATCTGAAATTGCAGCATTGGATAAACCGGAAACTCATCGGGTGAAAGCACAGTTGAATACGAAGCGAGAAGGGAAACCGGCGCAACAGCAAAACACTATGTAAGTTAGTGTTACATACATAGAAGTTCATGGTGAGAATCCATAGTCGAGGTTTCAGGTGAAATGTGTATACGTTATAGTTGCCAGTTTAAGACAGGTTGATGTATGGCCACTGGGGTCGCTTTGCTTTAACCGCAGAATCGTCGACTTCTATGGCCGTCCCTTTTTCCCCTCAACCCTTTACAAGATTCAACCCTTTCCCAGCCCCTCGGTGTAAAATTTCAAAGTCAAAAATGATTGAACATTAACCGCTGGCAATCCACCAGTGTCGGTTGGCTTTGGGGATTTCTCCGGTTTCCAAATTCACACGTTAACACTCGTCAAAAAATATATATGTCATAACTATATGTGACGTATTGCATTTTTCGTCGAAATATATGCACATATAATTATACAATATATTTGATTAGCGAAAATATGAAATATTTGATTATGAGACCGTTTTGAAATCGTGTTTGTATGATTTAGATTTGGACTTACAATTTGAGAAATTGATGGTAGTTATAAAAAAAAGGTGAAATTGTTGAACCAAACGAGAGATATCCATATGAATATATAGTATATGTCGTCATATAGTCGGACCTCTTCTCAATTTTTATTTTCCCGTATCTTCCGATTGTTCCGTCGGGTGGCGAATTGAATTCCGGATAAAACAAAGCCAATAAATAAATTCCGCTCGTATTCGAATGTTCTATGAAAAAAATTTAGTTCACAGCCGCAGCGAGCGACTGGTGAGGGGTAGCTACATATAGTCGAATTGTTCGAATTCGCTTCCCCTACAGCCCCATGCACGCGACTTCAACGAGAATCTACTGTATAAAGTGAGAGTTTTTGTTTCAAGGTATTTTTTATGAGAGGACAATCATCATCGAAATGTCGATAAATAAGTTGGTGAACGATGTAATGAATAAACAGAAATAAATGGGGCATTTAATTACTTAGAGCATAACCTCGGAGTTACCACTATCTAGATTGAAATTCAGAATGTAGAATATATTAAACACGTGCTTGGCTTTGAGTATGCGGGCAAAGGAGAAACGGGGTAGACCGATATTCGATTGCACGTGGCTTTCCTTTGGACCACTGGTACACCAAGCGAAAAGCGAATAGTGTAAAGCGCGTCGTATTGCCAAAGCTTGGCTTTGACCCCTACTCTCAATCCCGAGTCGTGATTGGCGTCTCTCAGAATGTTTTGGGTAGCTAGTTCAAAGAATACATTCCACACACCTCAATCATTGAGCGATCGTGGTTCACCGGATCCCCATGTTGTACTTGCGGCCAGATTCGCTAGTTCCGGATCAGTTAGCAAACTCCAGTGGCATTGACGTGACAGTTGGCTCTTAAATAACGTCGATCAAGTATTCACCGAGTCTTTTAATTCACCCCATGACAGTGGAAATTAATTGAAAATCACCAAATCACTTTGAACACCATTCGCCTAACAGTTGAATTTGGAAGATACGATTATCTTCCCTGGGAATCTGGGAACTGTCGCGATTAGAATCTCTTACGTATTTTTTGGGTAGATATGTGAATTTGTATATTTTGCACACCTCAATTATTAAGTCATGATTTGCGGGTTTTGGGTTGTACTTTCGGACGGGTATTTGGGAATTGTGAATGAATTAGCAATGTCCACTGACAGTGACGTGACAGATGACTGGTAAATAACTCCGATGTTCATGTTAATGAAAAAACCAAATACTGGGATTATCATTGAGATTTTAATCGTCCAATTGCTGTGACCTGGGATTAATGATTAATTACTTAATTTATCTGTTCAAAAAGGTTAAATGGGGGATTATGGTTGAAATTGGCGAATTTACTCGGTTTGATTGACATCTCTTAGTACGTTTCAGGTAGCTAATTGAATTGATACATTTCGTACACTTCAATCACTGAGTTATTGCGGTTTGTCGGTTCTAGAGTTAGCAAACGGAACTCACATTGACGTGACAGTTGACTGGTAAATAATATCGTGGAATATCGAGTGTGTTTCAATAGATCCAACAGCAATGGAAATCAATTGGTAGTTTCCAAATGAAATTTCAAATTCCATATTTAGGAACAAAATGACGTGCAGTTTTTATTTTTTCCCTTCCCATTTTTATTTCTCGCATTGCTCCAGTACTCGATCAATCATCAGATCGTTTACCAGAAAAAACAAGAGAATATGTAGTTTTTCAATACCAAGATTTTTTAGCCCTGAAAATTCCAATGTGATCCGCAGACCGTTTCAGGCGAGTTAAAATAATGACAGTCCTAATTGTACGTGACTTGCAACCGAATTGAAAATTTCTCGATGAATTAGTGATAGCGAGTGGCATTAAACTGACATTTGAATCTCTGATAAACGCTTTAGAGAAGACGAATGTAAAAATCAGTGAAAACCACTCAAACAGGACAATGAAACAGCAAAATAAATTCACGAAAGACATGATACTAATGATTGGTAGTTCTTTCCTGAAATAACCGAAAGACTTGATTAATCGTCAATTACCGAATCCCACTCCGGCTGAAGCTGAACTAATGAACCCTGTGACGAGATAACAGCGTAATAACCTCGCAATTTGTTACCAAGCCAAAATCTACAATCTTTTATACTGTTTACTCCCCTCCCCCGCTCGTCAGCAAATTTTCATCCAGACTTATTTATTACCAGCGTGCCCATCCAATTACTGGACCCAGCTTTAATAGAGGTCAATTAGTTTTGTCCCTACCATCAGCCCTCAGACTACTTCCTGACAGATACTTCTGCGAAAACTCCTATGTCTCCATTAATTCAACCAATGGCGCACATTTGCGAAAGAATCAACTCAATCTGCTCTCTTCCATTCTCAACTCAATTCCTCTCTGTCTTGAATCGAATTGGGTTGTTTTCGAATCCAACCGAGGTACATGGAGAGAGAGGAAAAAAAAAAGAAGGGAGAGAGGGTGCAGTGCTTTTAAGGGAAGAAGGGAAAACTCTATCTCCCGATAGTTTGCTATTTTCAGAGCCCCTTTAACGTTACAGAAACCCGTTACTTGGCAAAGTTTTGCGACGTACCGGAACCTGGCACTGAAAATGGGGGAAAGGTGGGGGGGAGGGGCGAGGTGGTGGAGGATTGAAGGGGGGTGGGTGGGTTTGGATGAGGTTGGCTCATGGAGATAAGAATCCAGTTCGTCCACCTCTCTACCTCCTCTCTGGCCCCTCTCTAATGCATATTCATTCCTAGGGTATATCCACGGACTGTCTGTGTGTTTGACTATCCACCCTCACGAATGCACGATCGTTTACCAAGGGTGAAAGTGTGCGTTCTTCGAATTTTAACAGGTCTTGGGCGGGTGGGGGTGGCACAGAGGATTAACATAAAGGCGATATTTTCACGCCTAACGAAGGTGTAATTTATCAAAGTGAGGAACGACAGGAAGAAAAAGGTATACGCACTTAACGAAAAGGGCATACAGATCGATTGAATTTCAATTGGAATGGAGCTGGGGGCTCGGTAAAAAAAAAATACACGTTTAATGGAATTCAATGAAATGACATTTCAATTGGAGTGTAAATCGTAGCCGATATATCAAAAATTGGAGGACGCTGACAATTTGATTGGTGTGTTGATTTTTCAAGAGTGGAGACGTTTAATGGTGAAGTTTGTTTTGGTAATGACAGTTTGAGTGAATGATTGGTAGATTGATTAGCTTACCGGGCGTGTCGTCGTGGTAGTGGCGGTGGTACGGGGCTGTGAAAATTATCCATCATAGAGTATGCGTCTCGATCAACGGTTTTTCTATCCAAGCTCTCGAGCTGGTCTAGCCTGAGCAGTTCAGCCTCACGGGGTGAGTGTAATTCACAGTGTGTTACATGCAACAGTGGCCGGAGTGATGATACATTGCCGTCATTGCATCTCTGCTTTGTCTGGGAGTGGGCACGAGGGGCCCCAGGCCCAATGACAACCTGATGGTCTTCACCATCCGTTGGACGTTGTTCGTCACCCCAAACCTCAAATTCACCCGCCGCCGAGTAATCACCAAATCCACCGTTACCCTTCACCGTGTCAACTTTAATGATACCAGTTGGTTGACGCTTTTTACGGCTCGTTGTGTCACCGAACCGCACGGGTACGAGACCCCGCGGTGATGACAGTACGATATCCTCGTGATTATCTTTTGTACGTTTATGATTGGACTTTGTACGTTGCCGTGATGGCAACGACAGGGAAAATGGGAAAATGTTACTCCTATTTGTCCGAAACGGCGTCAGAGTTACAGCCTTTCATTCAACTTGTTTAATAAATTACCCGCGTCACCACCCCCAATACACTGATAACACACACTTTCACTTTGATCACTTCACACAATTCAAAAAAATTCTATCGGCGATGATAAAAATCTCGCAAATTAGTTATCGCATTCAATGAGTGACAGGCGATTCTTCCGGATTTTTTTTCTTTTTCTATCCAGAAGAGGTGGAGAAATTGACGAACGAAAAATAGTGTCTGACACCAACTGGAGAAGTTTAAAACAGCGTTAGGGTAGGCAGACAAGGATGGGGTAGGGCTGTGGAAAACTCGGGGATTCCAAAGTTCCTTATCGATCTGTCAACGCCAGCGAGAAAGTTTGAATCGTTCTCCAGCGAGCGATATCTTCCACTGGAGATCCACTCGACACCCTGGTCTCTCTCAAATCCTCAAATTCAACGGCTGATATTCCTTGCTACCTCAACAATGCACTGTCATTGTCTCATTTATTTATATTTTCATCAATTACGTTGATTGCTATTCTCCTCAACACATTGACGGTGTCTTTCTCACGGCAGTGAAAGAATTTGTCGACTCAAATGATATTTTCGTTGGAAAGGGTAACCACGACAGATAGAGTCAGCCCTCGGGGGATATCTCTGTGCCGGTCGTGGAGCTCGAAGGCAACTGGGTTTGCGCGCACACGGAAACCCAATTTCCAACGTGCAACGTCGGGGGGTATAACGTGTAAGCGGCCTGGAGAGTGTCACCGACGATTAAACCAGGAGCCACTGGTTGGTACGCTAGGGAAACCTAATTGGGTCACGCGGACTGGCAAATACGATGAGAATCCTTACTCCATACTCCCTACACCCTCACTAAGCGTAATGACTGGAGGAAAAAAAAAGCAACAATTCTCCACCTTATCTGTCTCAACACTATCAATGCCCTCGTCTTATCGAATAACTTCACGAGTGTTTATTGTTTAAGTACGTCACAATGTTTCACACACTTTGTCACTAAATCGAAGAATCGCCGTGACTGTTATCTCTCGTGATATTTTTATCCGTCGATAATTAGGTAGATAATTACTAGAGAGTACTGTAGTAATTTAATTAATCCTTTGGGAGGCGTTGATATTTTATCGTTGTAGAAAACTTTGAGAAATTTGTTTATAACACACTTGATCTCGGGGTTGGTGGAGTTGGTGGAGTTGGTATATTTGTTATAACGGAGCGATATGCTTCCGCATGAGCAGCGGATCAAAGACTGGAGGCCACGGCGCCGCAATGCCCGGCACAAAGTGACACTGGAGCTTCCCCACTCCTTGGGTAGAGGTTTGAGCGCGTGCGCCTATCCGGTTCTCTTACCCTTCGTCCTTTCACGTCTTTCTATATTGTGAGTCTCCCCACCCCACCCTCTCGCCACCCCACCCTCTATCCACCCCACTCTCTACCCCCCCTTCTACCAACCCTCTACGCACCCTTAGTCCATCCACTGTAGTACAAACCACCGTCGCACAAGCCTCGACTACTCACCAACTGCTCAATGTGTGTGCATCCCTTGTGCGTGAGCAACTACACAGTATCAGTAGGGGGTCGTTACAGTGCCTTCTCCTCCATCCTCTTGCCTACCCTCCCAAATCTACCAGCAACTGTATGACCTCTCCTGGATTTTGAGTTTGCCGTTTTCAGGTAAAGTAGGTGGACACATGTCGTATTAAATCTACGCCAAATAGGTGTGTGTGAATTAATGGCAGTCTGGAGGAGTCTGGAAATCTTTGGAGAATTTGAATTTTTTTTTGGGTAAGTGATCAAGGCCTAGGGAATATCCTAGTGATTGTTCAGAAAGACTGGAAAAAGGTGAGTTTTTCGAAAAAATGGAATTTGGGAGAAATTTGACGATTTGCACGTGGGATTCGAATTCGGCCTGCTCTGGTCAATTAAGATCTCAGGATTTTCTTGATTTTCCATAGATTTTTCATCTGTTTGGAGTGGTTATAAATAAAGGGTACACTTTTAGCCAGTGAATTAACCATTTCCGGGGATCTTTCGGAAGATTTACCGAGTAGAACTGGTTTTATTGAAAAATTTACATAAAATGTATCTTTTAAATTCAGGAATCAGCTTTAGAGTCAACTAGTCTATTTGAAAGGTTTGGGGAGAGAAATTATTCTGCAAAATTACAGCATAGAGAAAAGAGACAAGCCATTCCCCTATCAAAATTTTTTATAGACTGTAAAAATGCGACTGTTCATTAGTTTATTCATGTCTCCAAACCCATTCCTCCATGGTTCATCAAATAAGCAGCAAATATTCACTTTGAAAATTTCAAAGAATTCCATTTATTCCAATTTCTCCAATTCATCGTAAGCTGAAGCATCACAATGGAATACCTGTTCCATTTAATTATTTCATCCCACAAAATTATTGTTTATCCCATCCTCAAAAACAGTAAAACGTACCATTCAATAAACAATAAAAAAATTTTCATAAAACCAATATTTACTCCAAAATGCTCAAAATCATAAATCGCGCATGTCCATACTTCTCTAATTCACATCAACTATTCTCTAAAAAACAACAAAACACTTCTGAAATACTGCGAGTTTTATGCTGTCGTATAAACGGAAAAATGTTCCCGCGAGCCTCAACTCTCGTCTTTCCTAACCGGTTCAATACCCCCAATAAACCCATAAAAGGCGGAAGTAAAAATGAAAATAAATTCGTTCGACGAGAACCAGAACCATTGGTCAGCAATCCCGAGAACCATCTGTGAAAAAAAAAAAAAAAATCTCTATGACGAGCGAGATCATTGAAGAGAGTCTATCGAGTCCGTGTGCAATTGATGAGTGCGTCTTATTTACGACACCCCATTCCTCCCACCACCCACTTTTCCCGGGACACTGCACTTTTTAATCCGCCGACACTCGATCTAATGACGCGGAAGGATTCTCGCGCTTTCTCTTTTTTACGAGTCTACGCGTGAGACTGAATAAAAAAAAAAGGAGAAAAGGGACTCGAAGTGCCGGGGCAATTGCAGCTGAGGGTTAAGAGTCACGAGAGGAGAAATACTTTCAGCGTATCGCGGAACGCTTTACGATCCCATGGGACTCAGGAGTCATAGGGTCGACTTTTAGAATCCCGCATTCTTCTCGAGGGCAGAAAAGCCTTTAAAACTGGAAAATAAGGGGTAGAGGAGGAATAAAGCGCAAAAAAAAACGGCGGGAAATAGTGAAACACCGTAAAAACACTAGTGGCTGATAAAGTCGTGAAAAAATTAACGATCTAGTGCTATCCCACCCCCAATTCACTTCGACGTTATTAATATTTTACGTCGATATTATCCTTAAAACCAGCAATCACTTTCATTTCCTTCACCATCATCATTATATCCGTGGGTCGGAGTTGTTGGCCTGTTCTGCTGTAAAATTCAACTCCTGACGATATAAATTTTCGACCGACGATCGTTGTCTATTTATCACGCAAAAATGATATCAAAGGGGAGAGGGTGGAGATGTGGAGTGGAAGAGAAACTATTTGAGGCGCGCCATACCAGAAAGAAAAACCTTCAATGGAATCTCTGATGCACAGAGGAAGGAGCTCGTATGAACATCAAGGGTTGGGAATAAGTGAGTGTATGCTTGCTTCATGGGCAAACTCTTTGCTTCTTATATTCAAGATATGCCCTGGATTATCCTGAGTAGATGGAAATCTACTTGCGAAAATATTACAAAGAATGAGGATTAGTGTTGTTAAGTACATCGAGAAAGAAATAAGTGAGAAAAACAATGTGCGGTCAGACTTCCCTAAAAATAATAACAAATAATAACAAAAAATATTAAATTTTTTGTTTTCATTAAAACTGTCTATAGTACCCTCGATCATCATTATTACCGATATTATCAAGGTGTCATTAGTTCCACATGCGTAATTCATAATTAATTAAATAATCCAATAATATCCGACTCAGTTGCTGATTGAGTAATTAATTATTCATTTGTGTATATTGTTTATGACTGTTACGTGGGTTTATTCAGGATGTAACAGACTCGTTATTTCAATTGGAATAAATAGGTGTTGTGTCGATTACGTGGGCGATAAGATTTTAAGGATGAAATTCTCATCAATGTTCTATCAATGATTGATGATTAATATGGGAGTCGTCTAATATTCAAATTGCTCAAGGAATGTGAATATTGATTCGTAATTCGATAATTGACGGCCCGTGGGCAATGAATCTTTGGGAAATCGTCAATCATTTGTGACAATTGATGATTGACGATATCGACGGAGAATTTGAGGAATATTATCAAGATATCAATTCTGTTGATTTCTTGAATGACTTCCAAAGATGATATCTCTAAGAATTCTGTCCCATTCATTTCCAATTCGTCGAAAACTGCAAATAGATTGAATTTAATTGCTCAATACGATTTTGACGGATTTAATTTTGACTAATTGGCAAAATCAAAATTCGTGAATCTTTCACTGAGAATTTTTCTAAAAAATTCAGTGATGAACTTCCAAAGTTAAATGACTCGAATTTAATATATACCTGTTAATAATAAATTTTTATTTTTACTCTATTAGTAATTTCTGGATGATTTTACTCTGTGCAGAGGAACATAAGTAACTCTTATTCAAACTGATGTATCTCCACATTTCGAACTGAGTTTATCTCGAATGTTTGAATTCATGCCGACTATCTCCATTTTCCCCGTGGAAGTCATCAAACTTTATTGGACATTAATTATAGAACAATTCTCTTCATGTAATAGGTAATAGATAACTGAAAATGAAGTACAAACCGTTGAAGTTTCCAACAATAATAATACTAGTAATATTGTATTTTGTAATGGTACGTATGCCGGGACATAAATTGGAGCGAAATAGGACAGTAAATAATCAGTAGTCAATCAGTGTCTGTGAGTTATCCTTATTCCGAAATTGGATCTGAGTTAGATGACTTCTACAGTGAACATTGAGGCAGTCAACTTCAGTTCAAACATTGGAGATAGACGAATTCGGTTCGAAATCTCGAGGCAACTGTTGTCCTGAATAATTCAATAGGTTGAACATTCAATTGAATGCAGAGTTCAATTTTCCTAATGATATTGAAATAACGGCTCAATATGAAGGTCTCAATTTTCTTGAATTTTCAGGATAAACAGGATTTCATGAAGCATTTGGTCATAAATTGACCGCAAATTCACAATATCAGCACCTTACACACAGCTGTTACTTAAATTTCGAAAAATTTCAAACTGCACGGAACTTTGATAGAAAATGCAATAACTCCCGTGAGAATACAATATCCTCCTGGAATTTACGGATGAAATACTTGTGAGTTCTATAGAAATTTTTTATATATAAAAAAATCATTAAAATTTCGTTTTCAATTCCACATTTATAGTTCTCGCAAATTTTTCCGCAAAATGATATAACTCTTATTTCTGCAAAAATATTTAAGTGTCCGTACAAGACCATATAATTTCAAGCCGTGTATTCCTCATCAGAATCTCATCCCGAAGCTGCAGGATCTCGGGTTTCACCCTCTACCCAATAAAAAATAAAAAAAGAGCAAGGCCCCTGTAAAAACCCACTCCTCATTAATCAAATCTAAATTAATGATCGCCCGTATCAAACTTCCTACTTCCCATTACTAAATTGACCTTGTAACAAAATATCCATTCACCCCGGGGGCCATTCAACTCCTCCGAGGTGCACCCAATCGCTTACATACTCGCATATATAACATATTACACCGTCGGGTAATCGGATAGCATCGACATAATCGACTCGACCGATCGTATCCATATTTAATGGCATCGGTAAATCAAGCGTACACTTGATGCTCATCGAAAGGCTAACGCCGGAGCGACTAACACTGCAACTATGGTGCTAGTGGGTGACAAACACCGGGTTATACTCTGGTTAACGATGAAGAGAGAGAGTGTCCCATGGCTACTCGCAACCCTTCCACCAACCCACCACCCGCGACGACAACTGTCCAAAGTATCGATCGATTGCCGGTACTGGCAATAAGGACGCTATTTTACCCTCTTGCTTACACTCACATCTTGCAACTCCCTTGAAAACGATCGAAGGGAAGTTTAATTATCCCCCGACCGGCTTTGCCACTCTTGGATGCTCTCTCAAATACACACACATACTGACACACCAAACCTGCACACGTATTTTTCCTCCTCCGTACAAGGGAAGATGGATGGAGAAGTTGTTTTATC